CAGCAGGAAGTCAGCACTAACCATAAAATTGCTAAACCTGACATCGCTAGATATAAGGGCATTGCGTGGTAGAGTTTAATTATCTACGTCTTTCGATATTATCTACGTTTATACATAGTTTATTTCTCATATGTTAAATCGAGGTATCTTCTTCGATCAGTAATGAAATTATTAATAAATATTAATTTAAAAATATTTTTATATTTAAAAAATGTGTGTAAAGAAAATCAAATATTTTATAATAGAGAATACTAGGTAAATTTTTATATCTGTAATAATATCCCATTATTTTTTATTGTTTACATCGTCTCAAGTTTTCTTTCTTTTTTTTCTCTTAACATATTATTTGTATCTTTTAAGTTTTACTAAAAATAATTTAAATTAACGTTAACTTTGATGTATGGCTATTTTTTATAATTTTCAAAGAAATCATGAAATATTTTTAGGTTAAGTATGTTTTCTTTTTTCTAAATTTATCTTTATTTTATAATATAGCACAAAATATTTTTATATTAAATTATTTTAAAATTAAACAAAAATAAATCTCTAAATACAATTTATTTAATTTTGCATTTTTATTTAAATTTCATAAGCTCCAACTAAATAATTCCTAAATTAAATAATCTATTATAATGTTAAAATATTTAATGAGTTTCTGTTATTGGTCTTTATTTAATTATTTTTAATTCATATATATTGAATTGGTTAATTTTACTTATAAATGTATAGATATTTAATTTGATTAATACACAATAAAAATAAATAATGTTTGATAATTTATTAAATTTTATAAAAATTAGTTCTAAATTTAATTTAATGGCTAAATTGATTTTATAGTAAATTCATAATACTTAATCATAAAATATATAGTTCATTAATTAATTATGATAAAAAAAATATTTATTTTTATAAACTTTAGATACTGTATATCATTTAATTTTAATCTTTAAATAATAATTTCAAAAAGTTATTTTTATTAGCTTACATAAGTTATTTATGATCCATTATGAAAGTCAAATACAATAAGTTTGTTTACTTATTAATATATAATTATAACATATAATATATAATATTATAATTTATATAATGTATCTATATAGAACTATAAAATAAAAATAATTGTATCTTTATTTATCTGTAGATAATCAATACTTTTCAAAGATGGAATTAAATGGAATGAGTATGGGTATAGGTGTTGGTGTTGGTTCTTCACCTCCTCCTTCTTCATCAAGTACTGTTAATCCTAAAAAGAAGAGACGTACAAATACAAATACTACTCAAGCTACACAACGTACTCCATCAATGCAAGATTATGTACCTCCACCATTATCAGGATTTGGGGATACTGTTGTCGCTAGTAATCCTTTTGATGACATGCCACAACCAGGGCTAAATTCTACTATGCACAATGGTCCACAGCAAATGCATCCTCATCATCATCATTTAGGAAATCCACAAATGCGTGGAATGAATTCTTTAACGCCTGGTAATTTGAATTCTATGATACCACATATGAGTAATGTAAATTCGATGAATAATTCGACAATTGGCAATCATATGGGCCATATAGGAAACTTACCAAATACAAATCATTCATCAATTAATAATATGAGTCCAATAAATAATATGCGACCAAACATACCACAAAATTCAATCAGTTCTATTAATAATCATATGAATATGAATCATATGATGAATTCTCAAATAAGTGGTTCTGCAATAAATAATCCAATAAATGGGTTAAACCACAGTTTAGGAAGTCCTATGGGTGGACCAATAGGTTCGCCCATAAATAACATTAGCCCTAATCATATGGCTAATAGCACTTTAAATGTATCAACAATGAATGCAACAAATAATGCTCTTTCGCATAGTGCATCTCAATCTCATTCAAACCATTTAAATAATATACGTACTGGTTTAAATAGATCCCACAATATGTCAATGTCAACTATGAATTCATCACTACCTAATACTATGCTAGGTACTAACCAAATGAATAATTTAAATATGATAAGATCTCAAATAACCAATATTCAAAATGTAAATTTAAATCAACGCAATCACTTAGGACACTTAGGTAATCCTATGAGCAATGTTTCAAATAACTTAAGTGCGAAATCTCCTAGTCATGGAATAAATATTGGCAATGCAATGCCTCAGCATGGATTACAAGGACCTCCTTCACTAGGGCCTAAACCAATACCAGAATCTACGGGTAAAGTATATCCACCAGATCAACCAATGGTATTTAATCATCAAAATCCAAATGCTCCACCAATTTCCCCATGTGGAGTTTGCCATAAAGAAGTTCATGCTAATGATCAAGCTATTCTTTGTGAATCTGGCTGTAATTTTTGGTTTCATAGGCGATGTACAGGATTGTCTGAAATTGCTTATGATTTATTAATGCAAGAGGTATGTGCTGAATGGGTTTGTGATAGATGTATGCAGTCCAAAAATGTATCTTTGGTGAAATTTAAACCCTAAAATACTTCAATCAGTGTTTATTTCATGTTACAAAAAATGAAATGTATATGTACATGTGTATGTATGTACATATATATATATATATATATATATATATATATATATTTATTTATTTACATACTTGGATATATATATTTACATTATTAAGTTATCTTTCTTAGCCTTTTTAAGGTTACTATCATATTATTATTAAAATTGTTAAAAAATCACAAAAACATAAAAATTATTTAACAATAAAAAATTTCAAACCTATATTTCATGTTCGTATCTTTATCACAGTGCTACTAAATTTATATGTCCATTCCAATAAAAATAAAAGCCAGAACTAAAGTTAAAAATTGATTTATTTTTATAAATTTAATCCTGTGAAAATATTTCATGCACATACTATCACAAAATATATTTAATGTATTTTGATTAATTGAATATATAATATACATTTGTAATTTCATTAAAATAAAAGTAGTAAAAGTATATAGCTCATTCAAGTTATAAAAATAAGTCATATTATACCTTTAATCAATTTACAAAATACAAATTACAAAATATGACATAAGTGCAACTGCAAATTAATTTTTACATTAAAGTTTCAATTTATGCATATTACAAAAATATAATATTTCTATAAATTAATATATTTAATATAATAAAATTAAGTTATTTTTATATAAAATTTTGAATTATATTTTTTTATTTTAACAACAGAAATTATTTAATACACAATATTGTTTTTATTTTTAAAGTTTTAATTTAATTTATATGTTTATTTACGAGTATATATATATTTTTTAAATATTAAGTGCTTACTATAATTATTAATAGATATTGAAATAATATAGCAAATATAAATGACTCAAGTTATGAAGTAAATTATTTTTTGGGAAATCATGATATATAAAAATTGCTAATGAGTGCATGTATGAATTTCTAAAATATATTTTTTATATTATTTAAAATAATTTCAAAAATCAAAATCATTTCTATTATAATTAGATTATAAAGTATTTGTAATATTAAATTTATTGTATATATTGAAATGACCTTATTTATTGAATTTAAAACATGTTATTTAAATTTAAAAATGAATACCAAAATATATATTGTTTACATTGATTGTATTCAGAACATTTGTTAAAATGAATAACAAAAATGTTATTTTACAGAATAAATAAATAATTGACTTATATAATTATATACTTAAGAAAAATATTTTTATTTTCATTATTAATAAATTTTAAGCATAACAATATGTCCTAATTGAACTATAATTGTACGAGAGAAAAATACATAATAAAGTTACACATAAAAGAAAAAACTAAAATAATAGTATAAAGTAGGGAAATTAATGAATTTCAATAAAGGATGCACTGCATCCTTACTAATAAAATTTATATTTTATTGAAAAATAATGCTTTTGTTTATTAAATATTACATTTTAGTTAGTCAAATATAATTTTTTTATTACTTATATTTAAGAATTAATATTTTTCATTAAATGTTTTAATAGTGTAAGTAAATATTATTATAGTCAAATATAAAATCGAATTTTTATAATTATTTCATTATAATGTATTTATTGTTTGAGGCATGACAATGTTTTTCCAGTTTCTTATTAATACAGCTCGTTCACTACTCGCAAAAGTATATAATTTGTTTCAATACAATTGGTTGATATTTAATATCTTCACGAATTAATGAAGTTGATAATTGAAAATAACAAGTATATTATTTATTCATATTACAATATATGAAATAATAACTATTAATAATGATATATATTATAATAAAATATTAAAAAATATTTAATGGTTTTTTTATTTATGTATTACAATTAAGTTTATACTAGGTTGTACTAGTATTTTCAAAATATTTAACATAATATTTAACAATAAAAATCAATATAGTTTGTCATTTATTTAAAGTTCAATAATAAAAACTATTTAAAAAATAGATCACTCATTATTTATTTAAAAATTATTTTACTTCTTAAAATTTTGTAAATTGTATTATAACGTTAATATTAAGAAACATAATTATGTAAGTAATTGTATTAGAAATATATTATTATATTTGTAAAATTTTAAATATGAAATATAAAATTATTTATCTGAATTTAACAAATTTTAATTTTTAATTTTAGAAATGTAAGTTATTAAGAAAAAAGTACACATTTCATAGACTAAAAAATACATTGTATATTTATTTTCCTACATATATAATACACATATAGATATTTTAATATAAAAAACAATTTTCGTTAGTTCTTATTTATTAGGTTTTAAGCAGATTTCATATTTACAAAATTATAAAATTAAAAATTTTACAATACTAAAAGATTGTATATTGTGCTTTAGTTTATTTTCACATTTATAATTCTTTTAAATTCTTAAAAATTTATGTATTTAAATATAAATATAATTCTATATATAACATATAAATAGCAAGTACAACTTTGTATATTATATGTATTTTATTGCTACTTTGAAAATAATACTCAATATACTGTTTTATGATTTGAAAATAGATGAATTAGTATTATATTTAAAGTATTTTTTATTATACATATGCAATAAAGAATTAATATATTTTAAAAACTAAGTATTGTCTATATAAATATAAAATAATATTTTTATTAACAAGATATGATTTAAAAAACATTAAATTTTCATTATATAATTTTCCAAATTTATGCAGTCGACTTAAAATAATAATTTTTAATTATTTGTATTGTCACTATACTTTATAATTACCATAAAAAGTAAATTAATAATTTGAATAATAATTGTTTTTGCTATTTTCACTATATCAATTAATGTGTATAAACGGTATTAATTAACTAATAACATTTTTTGATCGTATATTACAAAATTAATATTAATTTATTTTAAATTTAATTATATATATAAATTATTTATAGTCTTTTTAAAATTTCATTATTGATAATTTTAATATTTGATTATGTATTGATCAAAATATATTTTGTTAAGGTATTCAAATATGCAAAGTATACCTTAGTTACTATTAAATTCTTAAAGCATCTTGATATATTAAAATAAAATATCAATCCTGTTCATTAATAGTTAAATATTCATTTTTTGTATTTTAAATTTTATTATTGGAATATTTCCCATAATTGTGTATTTTGATCTTTATAATAATCTTTATACTATAAAATTATTGTAATTTTATAACATAATTTACTTCAACATACTCATCAAAATTTCTTAACTTAATAAACCACAACTGCTAAGATTATTTTGTATGATTACATCTGTTACTGCATCAAAAACAAACTGAATATTATTTGTATCAGTAGCACACGTAAAATGTGAATACATTTGCTTTTGTTCTTTGCGTTTATTGAGATTTTCAAATTTCATTTGAATGTATGAAGCACATTCTTCAAAACTATTCTGTCCTTTATATTCTGGAAAGCAAATGCTTAGTGGACTTTTATTAATTTTTTCTTCAAATAAATCTTTCTTATTCAAAAAAAGAATAATAGATGTATCTATAAACCATTTACTATTACAAATAGAATCAAATAATTTCATTGATTCAATCATTCGATTCATTTCTTCGTCTTCAGCGAGGACTAAGTCATATTCACTTAATGCAACACAAAATATTATTGCAGTTACATCCTCAAAACAATGGATCCATTTTTTTCTTTCTGAACGCTGACCACCAACATCAAACATTTTAAATTGTAATCCCTTAAAAGAAAAACGTGTTTCCACAATTCCAGTTGTTTTTATTCTAGTTTTTAAAACATCTTGTTGAGTTGGAATGTAATTTGGCTGTGTAATACGGTCCAAAGCGTTTAAATAATAAGCTGCAGAATCATTTAATTGATATTCTCTATTCCGTGTCAGACAATGTTGAACACCAGCATCTTGCCACAAAATTTTCATTAAATAAACCAGTTCATTATTTAATTCACCTTCTTCAGTAGATGATGCTATTGTAAAAAATTGCCTAGCAACATTAAATCTACTTGAATCTGAGAAATCAATTTTAAGTTGATCCATTGCTCGAATTATTGTCATTAAACTTTGTATTGCATTACTGTATACAGCAGGTTTAAATTGATGACATTCCTCTTGACTATATCCAGTTTCATGAATTATCTTCATTTGTTTTACAATTGTAGATTTTCCAGATTCTCCAGCTCCAAGTAAAAGTAATTTAACTTCATTGGCAATATTTTCTCCATCTGCCCTAAGGCCTTTATCAATCTTTTTAGATCTTTCAGCTGCTGCTTTCTCACCATTAGAACTTGTTGCACACCCCATTTTATATTTACCTTATTTGAATTCAGATCTAAAATATATAATAAAAATATTAAATAATTATTGAAAATTAATTTTTTATGCAAATTATAAATTAATAATAATAAAATTCTAGATAAAATTTGTTTAATAAAGCTATTTAATTTTGTTTTTAAATATTTTACTAATACATATTTATATACAAATTAAATTACATTTGGAATTCTATATGCGAATATTTTTAAAACAATTATTTTTTAATGTATATTTTAATTTCTTTTAATTACATATAAATAACGCAAAAAAAATAATATTTTTAATAATATGAATAATATAATTAATAAAAAAGTATATGTTTTTCAGATATTTTTAATTTAATGCTTAATTGAATTAAAATATATAAAAAATGTCCTTAAAGATTTTGAACAAATTGTAAGTTTATTAATTATAATTTCATTTATAGAATTCTAAGTAATGTGTATACAAAGTTATATTAAAACTTAAAAAAAGAAAAAATCAATTATAATTAAAATATATTTTGTATAAAATAGTTAAATTTTTTTTATAGATAAGTTGTATAATTAATCATAATTTATTAAAAAAAAATGAATATATAATTATTTTAATAGATTGTTTTGATTTTTTTAATGAAAAATATTAAATTGTAAGTTAAATAAATAAAAATTTTATATATATAGCTTTAAATAATTAATAGTTTTATTACACAATTTAAATTATAAAAACTATTTTATAATTTAAAATTAAATCTATAATTTTATCAGATATTTTATAAATAATTGTGTCTAAGATTATTAGTAACAATATTATTATCTTATAATGATAAGAAACCTGTATTTGTAAAGATATTATTTATATTAATACTTAAAACTCATATTAAAATTATTTTAATAAAAAGGATTTAAAAAAATAAAATTTTATTGTAATTTTTATCTATAAACTTTTGAATAATAAAATAAGTGTAAGATTAATTTAATTTAAAACTAATTGTAAATATATTTACCTTTTATAAAATAATTTTCTATAAATAAAAGGTTATGTTGAAATCGAATTTAAATGAAGTACTTTACTGATATACAATATAAGCAGATGAATGTATATTTTAAAAACATTTTTTGAGTTGTATGAAATAGTTCTATGTAAATTATATTAAAAAAGACTCTATACAGATAACTATCGTTTTAAGTAATTACATTTAGAGTAAGCTTTTTCAAAAATAATGAAGTTAACAATAACGCAAAATATTAAAATGTATATATGTACAGCATTCTAAATATCATATACTTAATTAGAAACGTGTAAATAAAGTTCTATATATCAAATTTATAGACTACCTCGTCAATATCCAGGGAAAATCTCAACTCATATTCTAAATCTCAAATTTCAACTCACTAATCACAATGTCGAGTTGAATCCGTAAATTGTCGGTAAATTCGTAATCTATGTATGTCATTTATCAACTACGATTTTTTGATCTTTAGCATACTTTTTAAAGTTATTATTTAAATTATATAAATATTATTTTACTTTATAAATATACAAAATTTAAAAAATATAAGTTGATCGGCACTTTGATAAAATTAAGGAAATATGTGCTTTATTGGTGTAAATGTGAATGTAGAATTTATATTTGTCGATAATCTTTTCACAAAATAATATCTTGATTTATTTTAATTATTAAACAATAGTTTTGAAGAATAAAAAAAATTATTTTTCCTTTGTTTCAAATTTCAACATTTCTAATTCACATATTTTTTTTTATTGATGAAATTTATTATTATGGGTATAAATATTACTAAATACATAAATGATTGTGTTTCTGAATATGATGTAAAACTAACTAGGATAATATTTAATATAATACACAATAAAGCAAGTATTATTGTATATTTGAAAAATTTGTATTCAAACATAATAATAAATTAATTAAATGAACAAAAATAAAGAGAAGGAAGAAATACTTGGAGATGAATAGTAACGTTTAATTTAAATAGATTCTTAAGTTAATATAAACTAAATAATATTTTAAGAAATAAATACATTATGAAAACATAACAAAAACATAAAATTTATTTTATAAATGTATATATTTATACATGTATTTCATGATTGATAAGAATTCATTAGCAAATGAGTTCCTTTAATAGTATTGATAATACTCTAACAAGTATAGTTTAGATAACAATTACTTAAAATTTGTATTAAATTCACAATTTAATAAGTGAAATTATTTAAATTAAATATGATAATTTAATTCTAATCACGTTGAAGTATAATAAAATGGAATTATATAAAATTATAATTCGTATTTGATAGTTAACCATTAAAGTTGACATTTAAAAAAGAAAAATTCAATGAAGATCGTAGGATCAATTCAAATCAATTATTTCACCTTTGGTAAAGAAAATAACAATTAATAAAAATAAAATAATCATAATTTAATATTTAAATTAAAAACCTTAATTTACAGAATAAAATTCGTGTACATTATAACAAATATGAAGTTATTTAATAAAATATTGTTTTACTTCTATATATTGTTAAGGGATAATATAATAGTGATAAAAGGGATAATAAAAATAGTGCAAGATTACTAGGGTAAAATAAGAAACACACATTCTGCAAAGAATTATTGATTGCTTCAATTGTAATAAAACCATAATGTTTAAATTAAGCATTTAGAGTAAAAAGGTAAAAACATATACTTTAACTGTAGTATAGTACGTATTAACATATTAGATCGTGGACTGTTCTACAATCAAGGGAAAGCTAACATCTGAAATTATATAAAAGAATATACGATTTATTTAAAAAGCAAGTAAGTTCTCTTAAAGAATTATCCTAAATTATTTTTATTTTATTAGTGTATAAAAAGAATCCAAATATCCAATTGCACATAAATGTGTTAAGTAAAGTTATTGTTAAATATATTTCATCATGCTATTAATAGAAAGTAATAATGGTGGATTAAAAGATTTTTTATAGTACCAAACTTGAATGATAATAAAATCTTGAATAAAATATACCGTCTTTGTGTGTTGCATTCATTTATTCGAATTACAAAAATCTAAAATGTTTATTAGGTAGTAATAAAAATATTTACTTCGAGTACTTCTGACATTTTGTAGCTTATATAATAAAGCACATGATTTATGAAAAAGAAAAAATTGTGAAAATTAATTATACATTCATGTATACAAAATATGCAAGAATTAAAAATATATTAATTATTTAGTAAATCACAATAATATCACAATATTGAGTTAGTAATATTACAATATTATAAAATGTATTTAAAAATATAATTATTCGTTTTATATAAATTATGAATTATAAGTTGCACACAAATAAAATATTTAATTAATATAAGCATACTTCAATTCTTCTATACTTTAAATAATAAATAACGATATATTTTATTTACAATTGCTTACATGTATTATTTATATTTTGTTTTTAAACTGTACAGAAAAAAGACTTTATAAAAAATTAAAATTATATAAATGGGAAGCAATTATTAATGTTCAGTAATATTTAGTGAAACAGTTCAAACATTTACTATTAAGTGATATATTAAATAGTTTAATGCAAATACATTGTATTAGAGTATAATATATTTTAACAAAATTATATTTTATTACTTAAGTGATTTATTATTTTTGAATTATTTACTATCAACAGGAATTAATATTTTAACGATTATATAACTAGCTGATTCTAAATTTTATCTAACACAACTAATAAAATTATTAATTTATACATCATTGTTATAATTTATGGATCATAATATAAAAAAGAATCATATATTTAAAAAAAAACTGTACCTAAACATATTCTAGATGATACCTTATATTTTAGTTAACTAATAAAGAAAAAGAAATTAATTTTTTAATTTAATGAAATATATAGTATTAAATAAATAATTTAAAGAGTATAATATTTTTGTAATCGTAAAGAATAAAATAAGTAATAATAAAATAAAATAAAATATACAAGTAAAAAATGAAAAAATTTTTATACTGATTATAAAATAAATAAAATAAAATTAGTAGTTATGTTTCAAGTGAACCCATTCATTGTTTAATATTATGGTAAGAAATGTACTGATTAGTCAGACATGAAAAATGTCGATTGAATACACAAGTGAGAAGTTAATTAGAAAGCGGAGAAAAGTATGCTGAATATCTCGATTATGGAATTACAAGTCATGGTTATATTATATCGTATAGTATAATTCTATTGAATTCAACTATGAATATTAGGGATTTAATATGATGTTGTTTATATATTGTGAACAAAATTGTTATTTCACAAAGCACTGAATATATCTAAAACTGTAAACATTGTTTTCTGTAATATTTGACTACTACTTATTGTTATTAAATTAAATAGTTGAGGTAAATAGTATGATCAAAGTTTTGATTGTGGCAACGATAATAGATTACGCTTTGGAATGAAAAAAAAATATTATTATTATTATATAAATAAATAGACGGAAAATAGACGATACATAAAAACTCTTTAAAGCTATTCAATATATTACAATCTGAATTAAATTTAACTTATTTCTTTAATTTTATTTAACTTTTAAGAAAGTAGCAATAAACTTGATTTGTAGTTGAATCTATAATTGTATTTACTCAATGTATATTATTATATATCAGTATATATACGTATAAACGAGAAGAATATAAAAAAACAATAAAAAAATATATGCAATGGATATTAATAAGAAAATCTACACGTGCATTTAATGATTATCGAAAAAAACCTTTTTTAAATCCGTAACATTCTGATTGGATATTTACTCTAAATTAATTAAAACATTTTCTTTATTAATAAATTAATAGAAAACTTTATCCAAATTTTTTTTTATGTATTTTTTAAAATTATGATTTAATTTTTCTTGTTTTAAATATAACAAAACATACGAGATACGTTTGGAATTATATTACATTGAATATTTAAAAACATATACAATATAAATAATAATAGATATAGTTATTAAATCATTATTATGATTATCATTACGATCAATTTAATTGTAAGTATAATGTATAATTAATATGACAACAAATTGTCTTTTTCGTGGTAAATTCATCAACTTATGAAACACATATTTAAATGTACAAATTGATGAAAAACAAAAAAAATTAAATTGGATTACTGTATTAAGAAAAATAAAGAAAGAGTTATACGTTAAAATCTGTTAAATAAATTACACAAGCCAAGTTTATGTAAATAAAGTAAAAAAATGCTAAAGATTATTCCATTCGAAATCTAAATCTCTTTGATTCTTCTTCGTTCAAATGTTTTATTTTTTGTTTCAATATTATGTAATTTTTATTTGTAATAACTATTAAATATAATAGTAAATATAAATAATAGAAATAAGTTTCTTTTGATTGATTCTGAGCTAGTTTGCTTTATCGCATGCTTTAAAGAAGAGCATCGCAATATATTAGAAAACTAATATATATATTATAATAAATATCTATAAAAAAATAAGTATATTATATTTATATTTGCATAATAAGAAGTTGTTTAATTTAGGTATTATTAATAATAATCATTTATATATTTTTGATGTTAAAGGGTCTATTAAAATTCAATTATAATCTATAATTTTACATATATATATATATATATGTTCAAATAAAAAAAACTATAATCAGTTAAAAATCATTACCAATGAAATTAGAATTCATAATTTTCTGTATGTACATCGATTAATCAAATTAAAATTTTTTGAAGTTCATTAAAATATAAATAAATTTATTATGTTGCTAATGGCTTTTAGCGTATATATTCAAATATTTATTTTACAATGAATATTATTAAATACTTTGAATAATAATTTTAATTCTCAGCAAAATAATATTTTATATAGTAATTATACAATTATAATATAATACTATACTTTATCAATAACAAAAATTTAAAAGTATTAATTTTTATATAATAGTGTAAATATGGTTTATTAAATCAAGCTACAACTTCTGCGAATATAGGGCTTGATTATTTAAATGCATACTCATTTTTTTATGCAAGTACTTTTATTATAATTTGAAGAATTTACAGTTTGGCCATTATATTTACTGATTTTGCATAATCAGGTTATATATATTACAATAAAAAGAAAAATAGAAACGTATATATTCACTATATATTATATATTTTTCATAAATATTAATTAAATCAGTAGGCTTATCTGTGAAAAGAACTATATTGTTTGACCATTTTTAATTAATCTTTAGATTTTAATTTAATAGATTTGCAAGGGCCTACAAAATATGATATAATATAAATTATTTAAATAAAATATTGCATTACGAAATGTTCAAGTATGTACATGAGTTTATATAAATATGTATATTGTCTGAACCTTAATAAATTATTATAATAATTATATC